TCAGTTACCTTTATTAGAGCTCAACATCCACATTCACAGGGCTCCCTGAAGAGTACAGGGAAGTAATACATTACCCAGTGATTAAAAACAAGTACTTTGAGGTTTTGAGTCTCTTTCTCAGCTACTTTCTCACCTAGCATCATTTTCTTATTTTGTAAGATAGAGATTATAATACCTCCTGTGCAGCTAAGAGTTACCGCAGCAAGTCCAAAATCTTAGTCACGTTCCTCATCACTGGACAAAACACCTAACACTTGCAAATTTACGAAAGAAGAGGTGTATTTTGGCTTACATTTTCACTCCATTGTCATCAGCTCCAAGGCAGGAAGAGCACAGTGGAAGGGCCTAGCCTGACAGAGGAAAATTGCTCTCATCATGGCAGCCAGGAAGCTGAAAGAGGGAAGTGGGGAGCCTAAAAATGAAGATAGATCCTTCTGGGTAACGGCCCCAGGGATCTGCATCTTCCAACCAGACCCTACTTCCTAAAGCAATCAGCTGCTGGACTCCCAATTAGATGAATCCACTATGGATACAGAGGCCCCAGGATTCAAATATTTTCCACATATGTGAGAATTTTAGGGGACATCCCATGTCTAAACCATAACTCCTGAGATGCATAGTTTTAAAAGCCCACATGTACAGTTGGTTCTTGTTTGGCATCTGAGAATGTGGATGTTAGAAATGTTCCCAGCATTTCCTGGTCAAAGTGACTCATGCTCAAAGCACCTAAACTGTTTATGCAAATGCCACGGCTCTTGCTGAGCCCCTGCTTTCCTTTGAGAGTCTGAAAGTTAAAACTACAGACATGGCAAAAGGTACCTACATGAGCAATACTAAATAAAATCTTGAGACATTGTATCTGGTGTTTCCCTGATTGAATGTTACGTGCATTTCGCATGTATAGTCACAGTACAGTAGTATATAAAGTAATCAATTTCTATATGAGTTCACAGGGGTGGATCCCTGGAAGCTTGTGCCTGGTTTCCTCTGAACTTCACCCCATGCACCTTTCCCCTCTGCTGATTTTGCTTTTTAGCCTTTCATTGTTATAAATTACAGTCATGAATATGACTATGTACTAAGTGTGTGAGTCCCCTTAGCAAATCATCAAACCAGGGAATGAACTTGGGAAAGTCAACATAGGGTTATTGTGAATATATGATCAAATACATTCAACATTTAAAACAGTACCAGGTACAAAGTAAGTAAGCAAGAGCAACAGAAAGAATCATATAACAAATATAACTCTACTTCCCTTCTAGGTGTCACCCGCTCCCTGTTATCAAAAGGCTCTGAGACCCTATCTCTGTCTTTTGCCTGAATGCAGTCTCGTAATTACTAATGTAATGTCCACTACTAATGTAATATCACTGTATATCCTGGAGATTCTGTCTCTGCATTCATCAAGTATGAGTTTCATAGAAATGTTGCTTTAGAATTGTTTTTTAAATTTTTCTTTTAAATTGATTCCTTTATAACTCCTTAACTCAAACTCACTAGACATTTAGAAATGTAGTTGTTACCATTTAAATTATAGTCATATAGTATCACAGGATGCTGTATAGGTAGATTATTTCAGTTGTGGATTTCCTCCCCACAAGTCCCTTATTTAAAGTAGCAACATTGTTAGCTCATTGATATTTTCCTTCATAAATTCTCATGGCACAGCAACCACTGGGAAATTTAGGATGGGAATAGCAAGGCATTTCTATACTGGTTCTAAAAGTTTTGTCCTACCTTTGGGGGCTTATTTGGGTATTAATACATGCAAAAGGAGCCTACTGATTTTTCTGAAATAACTCCCACTTCCTTTAAAACTTGGTTATAGCTCTAGTCTATTAAAATGTCAAATGGGACTTAGTCAACAAATGTTCAAATTACATTTTGGGATGAATTTCATGAAGTCAAGCCAAAAGACAATATATAGAGCCACTAATTTAGTGCAACTTTCCCTACTGAATATACACCAGCTCTTCAACCAATAAGATAGTAGTATTATAATCGGGGATTCCTTTGCTTCACTATGAGTTAAGGCAATTGTGCAATAGCTAATACAGCTACCCAGACTGGACATTGCTACTTGGAGCTTTGGGGTAGTGAAAATGGAAAGAGAAAAATAAGAAGCATCTGAGAATGCAAGGTGGATGATAACCATGTGTTTTGCTATTAGATTTTTTTATGCAGTGATCTGCCTTAAAACATAATGGTTTAAGGAAGCAACCATTCATTTGTGTCCTTATTCTATAAATCAGCACCTATGCGTGCAGTTCATCTGGGCATTTTTCCTGCTTTTCACCATGTTCATTTATATGAACATTTTTAGGTCAGTCAGAGAGCTCTGGTCCTGGGGTTGGGATGGTTTTTGGCTAGGCAACAAGTGAACAGACTACATGGTCTTTTGTCCTGTAGTAGGATAGTTTGGCCCTGTTCTCCTGTGACCTGTGAGTTTCAAGAGAGCAAGAAGGTAAGCCCCAATGTATAAGCCTGTTTCATGCTCATGTTGTTTTCTTTTATCCCACTGAATAAGAAAATTACATATTGAAGCCTAGAGTCAGTGTAGGGGAAATCTCTTCATGGGCATGGACTTTGTGGGCTATTTCTGCAATGGAGTACCTCAACTGGGTTCTTTTATTCCTTTACACTTTGGCATAAGTGTGCCAGAGTTTTAAGATTATCTGACTTATATTTGTTTACCTACTTGTAAAAAAGTACTTGTATTAGTCAGCTCTCCCATTGTTGAGACACAATACCCGACACCCACAATGTAAAGAAGGAGAGGTTTGATTTGGCTCACAGTTTGAGGAGATTCGGTTCATGGTCAGCTGGCTTTAAGGCAGAAACATGGTGTAAGGGCATAGTGAAGCAAAGATGTGCATTCATAGCATCCAGGAAGCAGAGCAGAGGGAGAGTGATAGAGAGGAAGGGGACAGTGACAGAGAGGAAGGGGCAAGGGACTATGTACATTACCCACAGTCATGCCTCCATGATCCAACCAGATATACACAGAAGTGTGTTTTACTAGTCTTCCGAGAGGCTCTTCATAAGCCAATCAAGTTGATGCAATCAAACTTAACTACTACAGTACTTAAAGAATGTTTAAATTGGGTTTTCCTGGAGAGACAACACATTTAAATGCTTTGAAGCCTTATTTTTCACTAGTTTTCCAAAGTATTCTGAAGTAACACCTAGAATGAATCAAACGTGGTTTGACAGCGTCAGAAGAATTAAGGCCATGAATGATTGGAGCATTAGTGAGAGAATATTTTTCCAGGCAAAGGATGCGATAAAAGCTTGAGAAAGTGTGAAGGCAGCAGGAAGACTCCACCTGAAAAGCATCATCGTGTTTAAAACAAGAAGCAGAAGTTATAACTGAGAATAAAGAGAGGTAGAAAGGGGAGAAAAGATAAAGTGAGGGAAGATATCAATATTCATGAACTTCTAACCACGCATGCTCTTTTCTGAATGAGTTTGCTGTTCTGAGTGATTTGAGTCCAGCAGAAAATATTTCTTGAGCCCTACCATTAGCCACGGATTAGGAAGCAGTAATGTGCAAGGAGACAACATACTTTCTTTCATGGCTCTTATGCACTAGTGGGAAAACAGATACCGAGTACACTGTTGCATGTGATTAATCACAGTTGGAGAAATGCTCTGAAGAATATGTGTACATGAGCATAGGAATAACCCACCTGTTCCAGTCTAGAGACAGAAATAAGGCTCCCCCAACAAAGCAACATTTAAACTAAATTTCATCTTTTATAAAGTACACAATAGTGTTTGAAAGGATTTCCAAAATGATTATGATTTCAACCCACAGGTGAGTAGACTCAGAGAGGAAAAAGCAATTAACTAAGATCAGAGCTAGTGGGTGATGTGTCCAGCATTCAAACCCAGGTTATCTTAGATGTCCTCAGTACCATACAGCATAAATTGCCCACTATATATATATATATATATATATATATATATGTGTGTGTGTGTGTGTGTGTGTGTGCATATATATATATATATTTTAGAGGTATTCTGGTCACTGGATATGTTTTACTTAGGTAAAATATGTTATTCCAAAACAAGTAAAATACACTACACAAAATTTAAACATAATGTTCAGTGGGAAAAGAATCCTCCTCCCTGCCTTATTCCCTCTGTTCCCTTCTCTGCTACCAGGACAACCAAGTTTGTTATCTAATTGCCCAGAAGTACAATCAATGCTTGCAACATTTACTTTGTGCCAGGTACTTTTCTTGATGAATGTTTATTTATTTAATCCTCTAATAATAGTGTCATTATTAACCTATTTTTTGTGCATACTTTTAATCCCAGCCCTTTAGAGGTTGAGACCGGAGATTCTTGAGTTTGAGACCAGCATGGACTACATAGAAAAACTGTTCAAAATTAATTAATTTTAATTTTTAAAATGAGATACTTTTCTTTGTTGATGCTGATCAACTTTTGCCTTGATAATATCACTTAACAAACAAGTCCAAAAATCTCAATGGCTTAATTTAAAACATTTATTTCTCACTTACGAATCAGCTGTGTTTTAGCAATGGCTGTTTTCAGCTTATCTGGTCTTAACTCCCACCTGGGTTTGTGTCTGACTCATGCATCTCTTTTTGTAAGACCGAGGCTGAAGAAGAATCATTTTGCCTCTCTGGCAGCTGTCAGGGGCCCAAGTGAAAAGAGTGGAGACACAGTGCTTCAAACACTTCCACCCTAAACTGGCTTCCATACATGGTGCATTGGTCAAAACAGATCACATGGCCAAGTCCAAAGCCCATGTGACAAGGAAGTGTACTCCACAGGGAGTGCTCAAGGAGAGAGCAGACAATTTTGAATAGGATTGTTTATACACCCTGAAAAATCCAACTTTTATCTTTTGTAGCTGGAATCTAGCCGTATAATTGGAAAAAGGTAACTATGCATTAATTAAATTAGCTTTCTTATCATCTTCTGCTGGCAAAAATCTAAATGAATGCCTCTTTCTGTTTACATTTTCTAGGAATTTTCATCATGTTTGGGAAGAAGAAGAAAAAGATTGAAATATCTGGCCCATCCAACTTTGAACACAGGGTTCATACTGGCTTTGATCCACAAGAGCAGAAATTCACAGGCCTTCCACAGCAATGGCACAGTCTGTTAGCAGATACGGCCAACAGGCCAAAGCCCATGGTGGACCCTTCATGCATCACACCCATACAGCTGGCTCCCATGAAGGTAGGTTGGCTTAGGAAGTGCACTTTTAGCCAGGTATGGCGGCCCATGCCTCTAATCCCAGGACTCTGGGATGCTGAGGCTAGAGCATCACAAGTTCAAGATCAGCCTGGGCAATTTAGTGACTGAGATCCTGTCTCAAAATAAAAAATTTTAAAAAGGCTGAGGATATATCTCAATTGTAAGGTCCTGAGTTCACCCCTCAGGACCATAACAATGAACAAATAAAAGGGACTGTGTTTTTATTTTGTGCAATATACCATCTTTGTGGGCAAGCTATAAAACACCACATATTACCCACTATTTTTCTTCAGTGATTGCACTAATCACCACTTTTCATATGTTCCAGTGCATAAAAAGGGAGCTTGGCTTTCATATGTGAATTATTTTTAAATTGGACATAAAATTCCATCACAAAAATAGGAAATTTTTACTTCTACTTTGCATAACATAAAGGTCTCTATACTGAGAAATATTACCAATCCCCTCAAGTTACTAGAGGCAATAGACTCTGATCAAAAATTATATTAGATAAATTTTGTTCTTTTCTACTTACTCTCAATTTCAGCTCTGCGAAGTTACTACAAAGAAATTCAGACATTCCAGTTTCTTTCTGTTCTTCAGGAAGATAAGAATGCCAGACTATCAAGCACTTTCCCAAAGCTCTCTGTGGGAGTTAAATATCATTGATATTTATCACCATAATATTCCATAGATCACTCTAGGTTCTCTAAACCAGACAAAGCACAAAATGCATATTCTTCTCTTCCTAATTATATCAATAAGACTGCAGGAATCCCTTATTCTTTGTTAATATAAATACTTCATAAACTGTGCTTAAGTGATAGGTGAGACATCTTTAAAAGGATGGGGTTTTTTTGTATCAGGAATCAAACTCAGGACCTTGTGCTTGCCAGGCAGGTGTTGTGGCACTGAGCTATATCCCAAGCTCTTAAAAAGATATAAAGAGGAAGCATAGTTAATTAATTATTGGAAATGCTTATATAACCTGAGCCTACAAAATTAGAATTGTGGTTCTGTTGTGTGTGTATGGTCTTGATCATTCTATTCTAATGTTAAACATGTGAGTGTGTTCTGTCCAGAGACCAACAGAGTCTTACACTCCTGCATCTTGTGAATTTGATCTTCTGATAGGATTTTGAAAATTTTCAGAATAGGTAAAATGTTAAGTACACAAAAGGTGGCTGTTTGGGAAGATAAACTTGAGAGACAAAAGAGCCTTCAAATTTAATTAGGCATTTGGTGATACTTTAACAGAAATTAACCAATTAACCAACACTGTACTAATTAATATTAAGCAATATCCTATGATTCAACAAAATTTTTCCCCAGAAGAGTTCTTCACTGGTGACCAAACAAATAGCTAGCAGGTTTTGGAACTAGAATGTTCATGAAAATAACTGTATATTAACAGAACGCTGACTCGGTACACTTTAAATATGGCAAGGGTGGGGAATATGAAAAGAAGTATATTAGAAAGAATTTGCTTTTCAGTTTCTTTGTTTTTCTCATAGTCCACAGTTTCATTTGTGTTGCTTTTGTTTTTACAAGACTCAGAAAATGAAATGGGCAGTGTACCCAGAAAAGTCTTTTGTTGTTAATCACTATGGTGAAAGGAAAATTCTCAAGTGAAATTAAGGTTTTCTTTTTTTAATACTGGAGTATCATTATCAATATTGTTGGATAAAAACATTCTAGAAGGATGCAAAGTCTTGAGATACAGGCTTCCTAAAAACCCAGATGTGTTCTGCTGTTAGAGAGTGAATTTATTAATGGGCAAGGACTAAATATTTATTTCATCATGCTTTGTTACTTGTCAGAATCTTACCAGGTTCTGTGTGACAGTAAAGAAAATGGCTCCTGTTTTACTGGTAATCCACCATGCTTAACAAACATAGAATTTAGGAGAACCTTCTAGATCATTTCTTCTATCTCCTGGATGGGTTGGTTCATTATATTTTCCTTTCTGATGAACTTATCAGTCTCACTGGAGGTTAGACCAAGATTTCCCAACAATGAATCTCCTTGGCCCTGCAATTATCTTACTGGTTCTGTGGACCTTCCATCCTGGTACTAAGTGGAGGAGGATTCAGTCTCCATAAAATTAGTCACGGAGATACTTGGAGAAGTGTGCTTAAAATGGTGACTAGAAAATACATGTCAAGAATCGAATCAGCCTGGATTTCTGAAAACAGGATATAAGGCATTGCATATCCCCGACATTTAACTGAAGGACATCCAAAACCTCCAGTACCTCATACTCCTACTGAACTCCTTTAGAATGATCCTACTTTTCTCCAAATACAATGAGTATAGTTAGCACTGCTAACACCTGGCAGACAATATTGGTGGTCAAAGAAAATGCTGTTTTCTCTATCATCCCCTTAGAATAAGTAGAATTAATGGATTTAAGGCACCAAAGTATGCCATGCAGGCTAGATGATCCCCTCCCTTTAGAAATGCCATCAAAAATCATCCACATTATTTGAATATGATATATGAAACACGTAGAATATACTTTAGAAGTCAGAAAAATCTTTGGAATAAGAAACTGTGAATGAATGGACATAAAGGACTGAATACTGATGATAGAATTATGCAAATTGAAAGCCATTTTGGTCAAAATTTTTTAAGGTTAAATAGAACCAAGAATTCAAATTTGGTCCCATTGTCCTTCAAAGTGCATAAAGGCAAATGAGAAATTAGATCATGACATAAAGCAGGCAGTGACAGGAGCGTACCATTCCTTTTGTTGGGACAAAGTGCTGGCCCTTCAGTACTGGTTGGCAGGTTTCAGGCATGCTGGTGCCCAGGGGAAATCTACTTTTGCAATCAGCACTCTTCTCTGTGATTGGCTAGGATTTCTGTGGGCCTATTTGAAGCCTCATGCTTACCTATCATACCCATTGCTTGCTAGGTCTCAAATCTCTCATGTACACTCACATGGTTTCTCAGAATGTACAGACTGTCAGAACTACCCAGGGGGCTTTGATAAAACCCAGACTGCTGGGCTTCATCCCCAGGGTTTCTGATTTGGTAGAAACTGGAATGGAGCTCAATAATTTGCATTTTTAATGTCTTTAGTTGATACTGATGGTCCTTCTCTGGAAACCAGACTATGAGAATCTTGATTTAAGTAGTTTTAAAGGAAATTGTCCACATAAGATATCATCAGTGTGCACTGACACTAGCATTTCCAAAATGTAAGAAATTAAAAAACCACAAGTTAGTTTAGACTTGTGTTGAAAGCTGAAGCTCTTGTGCTCAAACTAAGAATATGTAGGTTAATCGAAACAACCTAGACACACAAAGATGAGAATCCTTTTAAAATGTGGATCAGTAGTACTGCACATGCTTAGTATGTGCGAGACTCTGGGTTCAATTCTAAGTACTAAAAACATCTCTGTGAAACTCTTGTTTTAGGCCTGGCATCATCTTGTTCATAAAGAGATCATAAGTAATATCATCAAAATTTTTGCTGAAGTAGAAGGATGGTTACATTTGTTTGTTCTTACCTGTTGGGTCTCAGATTGGTCCTTTATCATACTTTCCTGGAGGGGCCCTCGGGCCCATCCTAGAGATGCCGATTGGGTAGTTCTGGGTCTGGGAACCAGCATGTATATTTTTAGCGGTTTCTTCGACTCTGCTGATGAAGGAAGGATGCACTTCAAGAACCACTGTTCTAAGGGGACTGAAGACAGAGCATAATGGCCACTCTTTCCCTGTGTTACAGCCTAGGAGTCACTTTTTAAATGCTAGATAATATTGAAGTCTTTGTACTGAGCTGAAATCTAACTAACACAGGCAAACAGCATATCTTATAATATGTTTCAGATTTGTTTTTAATTCTCAACTAGGATTATAGAACTAATACTCAGTAGTATTATTTGGTACACTTAAATTTTATTAAATGATAACATACTATATATATATATATTCTCCAACTTGCTTTTTTAATTTAACATTATTTTGAGATAAACTCAAACTGATATATAGAACATGAGTTTATTTTAAAAATTATTCTATAGATAGTTCTTACAATTTATCCATTTCTCAAGTAAAGAAGATTGTGAAGTATTTTCAGTGGCAAATGATACTGTTATGAACACCTGTTCGTGTCTCCTTGCACCTGTGACGACAGGTTTTCCTGCATGATTCTCTAAGTGTGATCTGGAACTCCTGGAAGTCCTTTGGATTCTTTCAAGGAGTCTGCAAGATCAAATCATTTTCCTAATGATACTAAGGAAGCATGGCTTCCTTCACTCACATTGTCTCTTGAGTGGGCAGTGGAGTTTTTCAGGAGCTATACAAAGTTTTGACTAGTGCCCATTAGATCCTGCAGCTCATATTCTTATCTTTGAAAAGTTTCTCACTTTTAAAACATAGTTCAGTAAATATTGATAACTAAAAAAACATAAACACAAATCTTTGAGTTTGCCAAAGTTTTAAGTGTTCCTGAAACCAAAAAGTTTGAGAATCTCTGTCTTGACCTTACATCATCTGATTACCAGATGTTTCTGAAGTTTGCTCCTCACATATTACTTACTTTTATTTAGTTTTGTTTATGAAAAATAGAGACTCTTCTGCCTTTGACTGGTAATTTTCTAGTCTGTATAACTTTCTCCAAAATTACTAAACATCCTATCCATTTAATTGTCAAGGAATTTAACTTCTCTGAGCCAGTTGTGAAGTCATTGAAATGCTTAGATCCTTACAATCCTTTTCTTAATTTAGCCTTCAAAGCTTCTCTAACAACCCTCTTTTACTTCCTGTCAAGGTTGAAAATTCCCAGGGAATACCAAAGGGAGACTGGCTGTGGCTGGGTTCCCTTCGTCTTTGTCATCTTTAGTATTTTATAGTCTTCCAAAGCTGAGGTTCTGCCTCTTTCTTTTTCTGTCTTCTGCTTCTGACCACTGCGTGAAAAACTAATTATTGAAGCAAAGCAGTAAAGGGAGAAGGGTGAATCTCCAAGTCTGGGCACC